AAAACATACAATGAAACTTCGGGAAAGGTGGATGTAACTAAAAGGTTCTTCATACCTCCCCCCAGACTTTGTCTGCACCTCCCCATGGGAGATACACCTCACAGTTTGGGAAAACCTGGTTTAAGGTAATAAGTGAGAAAACCAGTGAACATTTGGTCATTCAGTAGTTACTGAAGTGAAATCATTAAAAAACAGGCTTATCTGAATGAAACTACCAGCTGCGTCCACTCAGATAAAAACAATAGTAGTAGTAGTAGTAGTTGTAGTAATAATAATAAACTATTTTTTGTCTAATATTCCTTAAACCTCTCAATTCCTATAGATTTTAATGATTTGATGCACTGCTTTGAAGAACATGGGATCTTTCTCTCTCTTCTAGTAACTGTATTTAATAAAATCCAGGAGGATCCCCCAGAGGAGCATTATATCCAGAAGGGAAAGTATGTCAGGCTCTTGCTCTTATCCCCTTCATCTGTCCATTTTCTACATTGGTAGAACTGTAAGTAGCATTAAAAAATAAACTGTTTATAGAAGGAGTCACTAGAAAAGGAGGGGGGGATGAATTTGAATTAACTTCTGGCATTTGAACATGCTTTAGCTGAGATACAATAAAAAAAAATCTTAACATTTTTCTCCTTGGTCCAAGAAACAACTATCTAGGCAAAAATCCCCTAGTTTTTTCCTGAAATAAGCCCTTCTGAACTCTGAGCCTTCTGGGTGACCATTTAGAGGGTTATGCAATGGATCTGCTTCCTACAGCATCTTCCTTTGGAAAGAGCAACCACCATCTTCTAGCAAAAAAGGGCAGGGCCATTCTGTGTTCTACTTCCTCCCCCTTCTTATACTCCAGTGAATCAGGGAGGCATCTGCCTGAGCTACTTCTAAAACTTATCTTGTTTTGTTTTGAACTTTAAAAATGCTTCACCCTCTTTTTTCTAAGTAATGGTTCCTGCATATCCTTGTGATGGTTTTCTTTCTTACTCTCTACAGCCATAGATAACTTATTTCAAAAATTATACATTAATAACATACATTCTAGGACATTTTTATTTTTAATTAATTAAAATGTATTTAAAAATTTAAATCACCCAATAACCAAAGCCTGTGAGTGGTTTACAATAAAGCACACTAAAAATATAATTTCAGTAAAATATACAGAATAAAATCAATTGAAATGCACATCATACAAACTAGGCAGCCGCAAGATGTTCATTCAAAATCTAAAACAATACAAATTAAAATGCAATTAAAATATAATTATGAAGAACCTGAATGAATTCTTTCAAACTAATTATATTCCAGTTTGGAAAGCTATTATAAAAGACTTTGCCAAGTGGTGAAAAAAAGTAAGTTGAAGCACAGTAGCAGAATAAAAGTGGTGAAAATGATGCATCTTTCAAAGCTTACACTTTTTAATGTGCTGCCCACTTGATTAAATGATAGCCACCTGAATATATTGCAAGACAAATGAAAAACAAACAAATTTGAAAAAGAATCCAAGAATAAAATATCGCTCCTATTATAAGGCCTGTTAATTACAAAATTTAATATGGAGGTGGACCATATAGTGATAAATAGATTTGTAAAATATGTTTAATAAAAATAAAGATGGACCTTTTAAAGGAAATTTATATTAGGCATATAAAGAAGACCCAGTTTGATGTAGTGGTTAATGCACCAGGCTAGAATCTGGGCGACTGTGAGTTCTAGTCCCGCCTTAGGCACAAAGCCAGCGGGGTGACCTTGGACCAGTTGTTGTCTCTCAGCCTTAGGAAGGAGGCAATGGCAAACCATTTCTGAAGTCTTGCCAAGAAAAGTGCAGGGACTAGTCCAGGCAGTTGCCAGGAGTCAACACTGACTCAAAGGCACGCACATGCATACACACACATATTAGTCATTAGATATTGCATAAAAGCCATTCCCTTTCCCATGCCCCCTTGCTGTTAGTACCCATCTTCTTGTATCTTAACAGTAGTATGGAGAAGACCACAGAATAAATGGGAGTAAACAGAGTTAAAAAAAAAAAACTTTTAGAACTTTTATACAAATAATCCTCTCAGAGAAGAGACTTTTTGGTCATGCCTGCAAAGAATCATTAAAAAATGAAATAAGAGCAGGAACCAAGGATTTCAACAGAACTTCAAATAATTAAAATGACTAAGAACCAGAATGAACTTAAAATCAAGAAGTCATAAAATATTAGTCAGTACTGAGATGCGGAACTTTAAGGTAATAGAGAAATATGGGAGACTGATTTCAGAATAAATTTAGCAGTGGAGGAATAGAACAAACTGAGGCAAACATTTCCTTATAGATCTAGTATGTCACAAAACAGTATTTGCACTGAAAATCATTCATAGATGGCACAGTACTCCAGTTAGATCATCATATAAGGACTTTTTGAAAAAGGGGGTTTCAAGGAATGAAGCTGAATTAGTCATCATTAAAGAGCTCAGTTAGCAATAATAAACATTTTTGTCCATTCAAATGAAACTTGTAAATCTGGATTCCTGATGCACAAGATACAGAATATTAAATTACTGGAAAATTGACTATTAAATTTTGGATAATTGAGAATGAGATAAAATTAGGCTCATACGACAAAAGTATAAATTTTTTATCAATTTGTAAATCAAAGACAATAGAATTCTCTTAATGAAAAATTATGAAAAACACTTTCCCCCTCTTCTACTGTAAAAAATATAGTTATTTAGAGTTGGTACATACTATGAATTCATGCCTTTCAAAATTAAGAATAAGAAAAAATTTTTTTTGAGATGTTCACCAAATGTTCATACTTACGGTGGTGTAACGCCTTTGGGAAGTCCTAGTGCATTAACTGACATTGGAGGTGGCTGAGATGGTAGCATGGAGCTGAGGAAGGCTGCTGGAGACTGACTAGAGCTAGACAATCTGGATGTTGGGGAAAAACTGCGGGAAGGCGAGGGGGAAGATGCTGGGAGAGGAGGTGGAGGAGGTGGTGGTAGTGGAAAGGAATCTGCCACTGAAAAAGTAGATGTAGGACTAAAAACAGGGGGAGGGGGAGGAGGAGGAGGTGGGGAAGGAGACCAAGGGTACTCACCCTCAGGAGCAAATGGCTGAGAGAAAGTGGGGGCAGATGTTTTACCAAATTGCTTCTGAGAAGCAGTTGGAGACATTGGGGATGGGAGACTAGACGTGGAAGAGCCAGATGACGGTGTTACATAGCTTGAAGCAGGGCTAATATTTTGGGCAGCAATAAATTGTTTAGGACGGGCATAGTTGAAAGAACTGGATGTCTGCATGGCAGGAGCAGAATGAGAATTGAGAACGCTCATCTGCACAGGAGAAGCAGGAGAGTGGTTGGATTCAAGCTCTTGGAATGAAGGTGGAGGGAGGAAAGTTGGGGACAAAGGAAGATTCTGGAGGAAACTAGCTTGCTTCTGATGACACCACTGGTCTGCTTCTTTTTCCAGTCGGATTTGGTTCTGCAGCTGCTGAATTCTTAGAGGATCCCTATATTAATAAAAGAAAGAGAGAGAGAGAGTAGACTGTGAAGAGAAAAAAATAGGGTTTTTTTGGGGGGGGGGAGAAATAGATACTGTATGTCATCTTTGTCCTATATAGACATAAAAATTCATTATTTTATGAAATAAACAATATATAAGCATAATTAGTATACTGGAACATAGACTTGGGCTGCCTCTTCATCAGTTTTTCCACATTTCTACCAACGGGCAATCAGAAATTACATATCAGAAGTAAGGTATCAACCTACCCATAGATATTTTTTCTTTTTTCCTTAAAGAACCATTTTATAGCTTCCATTTAAACAAGTGCTTGGCTTTTGAACAAAAACATGAAGGGTTTAAAAAACAAGTGTCAAGTAGTACTTTTGAATTTCACTGGTATGAATGATCTTAAATAGCTTTCCATATTAAAGATGAATTAAAACATTAAAAGGATAGTTGTGTGTATGTGTGTGTGTACAGACACACTGTCTCTGTGTATATACATGTATGCACATGTATGCATACACTTAAACACGATAGGATGTTTTAATGGGCATATTTAGCTTTATCAAACACCGAAAAAGTGGATTTCCAAGGATTTTTTTTTTTTTAGAAAACCTCTGTGTCCCTTACTCTCTTTCTTTTTGGCTGTTTAGATTCAGCAAACATGCTAAGCCAAGAACCTGGCTGCTTGGGATTTTCTGGTACTTTTGCTTCTACAATGAAATAACATCTTTATAATTTTAGTTTTTAGACACAGGCTTAGACTAATTATTTTATATGCACAGTGGCCTCTAACAGAATACTGAACTATAAACACCGGATCAACAAGTCTTTGCTTGTACTCCTCTGGTGAGCTACTTAGAGAACAGAAACTTTTGCTTCTATTCACACTCTGCATCTTATCAAGTAAGGTGGTTGTTTGTGAAGTCAGCAGTGCCAAATCCAGTAAAGTGTTTTGGCTCCAAAAATTCTGATTATTACTGGTGTTATAGTTGACTTTTTCTTCCAAGTCTTTCCATTTCAATAATAATAGTTGTCACAATTTTTATTTCATCATCATCACCATCACACATTTTCGAGTGTTTCTGGCATACAAACATTTATAATGGCATACCTGCATATTATTTATACAATGAAACGGCCAATCTTACATCTTAGCCTGAATATTTCTTTGCAAATAAAATCTCATATTATTTGACATTCACAGTTACAGCTTGTTTGGTGAGGGCCTGGTATAATGGATTACTTTCTTTGGACAACCTGATTTTGATATTATAAAATAAATCTATAAAAATGGTTTTCTCACACATAAAGTTGTGCAAATACATAGTCCAGCTAAATCCAGTTTAGATCTGTCACAGTTAATTCAAGAATATTATGCACTCTTCCTACAGGTAAGCTCTTTAGGCTTCCCTTCTTTAGGGAAGGGGTCACTTATAAATATAGGCAATTCAAAGTACCCCAATAGGTTAATAATTGTTACAACAATTGTTAATCACACATCTTTAGCAAGGTGTGCTACAAACCAGAAAGACAGTAAGCACAATCATTTGATTGAAATACAGTTTAAGTTCTTGCTCTTCTGCTATTGAATTCTATGAGGATCTGTACAGAATAAATTATTGATGGACAGTATACAGTGCTTAGAGTTTCATTCAATGTTGTGGATATAATTCATATGGTAATTAGGTAGATATTTTCTTTTTAAAATGTCAGATCTTTCCCTCTTAAAGAGCTTTATTTAATAATCCAAAATACCAGATGGTTAATTTATGCCAAGTATGGGCAGACATTAGGCTTCTGAGACCTTTACTGGCACTTGAGGTCTGCCAACCTGGACATAAAATAAGGGTTGGCAACTAGTGGAGCAAATGAAAACCAGTAGTTCAAGTGGCAGAGTCAATTATCCACTGTGTCCATGAGTCTTTGTTGACACACTGACTTATTACAGTTAATAGATTCTAAGAAGCTAATAAAGAAAAGAGGAAAACTTTTTTCTGCTATTATTAAACAATTCATTCAGAAACCTTTGCTGACCTATTGTAGATAATCCAATATATTTTCTGCTCATTCCAAATTTGCAGTAGTAGTTTTATATCTAAGATATTTAAGTAGACATGTTATGTGCATTTTTAGTTGTACTGGTCTATGACTATAATAAACTGATTGATTGATTTGCAGAAGTAGTTGTGCAAAAGCTGTCAATAATAATGAGAAACAATATTTCCTTCCTTTGTAGATACAAATCTATATTACAAAGAGAGAAAATAACTATTAATGAAGTCACATTTATAAGTTTATTTTGCTATGTGAAAAGGAGCTAATTCCAGCAAAGACGAACTCCGTAACTAAAACCAACATTAAAATAAATGTTGAAAAGTGTAACGTTATCCGTAGGAATAACAATGGAATAAAAATGCATTTACTAATGAGTAGGAGGCAATATGGGTGGGGTGGAATAGGGAATCACTTCAGCTTCTCAAGAGAATATTCCACAATATTGACACAGCCACTGAAAAATTTCAGTGCCATCAGCCATGTCTATACCTGCTTTTCACAGGGAGGAAGCAAACTAACCAAACTGAATTGAATTAAAAAGAATTCAAGGTCATAAAATAGTGTTCAGTAGACCTGAGTATCTTCCATCTCCTCTAATACCATTGAATGTTTTTAATCCCTGTTGAATAATTTATCATTCAACAGTGCATACAGGTAATACACTCTGAGGTAACATTGATTGAGTCACCTACGCTGGAAGCTGATTTAGTAGACATTACTATATTCTATCTTGTAAAGTTTCTTGAGGTTCTGTCTGCAATGTGATAAAGCCCTGGATGAGTGGAAGTGCTGCAAACCTTGTAATGTTGAATCGCTGTCCTTAGGAAGTAGGAAAGATTTAATTTTGTTCAATGTATATGTATGCATGTGGATATTCATGTGTTTGCATTATTCTTGCATGATATCAGTATACAGTAGTAAAGTAGATAGGACATTATTAGGCAGGACTTCCTCAAAATTTGAAATATACTACGGTAATTAGGAACTTGGATCACAATTTTGGATTTCTAACTTACCATAATCCAATGATGGTATAGATTTGACTCTTCATTTTTATTTCCCTTTTACTCAGCTTCATAACTTCATTAAATCAAACTGTGCCCATGGTACAACAAACTCTTGAGATCAAGCCAAAATCCTTGCTGTGGTTTTTGTGAATACAAATTTAATAGCAAGCAAAAATTTATACCACCTGGTATTTGCAAGGCAGATTCCCAACTATGGTTTGATATCTTAGTTAATCAGCCATTTACAAAGCATAATTCAGACCTGAAACAAACTAAATTGGCTTTACAAACCTACTGCTGACTGCCGTATGGTAGTTAAATGAGATGACTTATTTAGTGTAGATGTCATGCTAAACCACAGTTAAAGTGAACATGGAAAGAAAATTAGAAGAATTCAAACATAGGATGGGAATTTATGTCCCAGAAACTGATTACAGCACCTGGCCTATGAAGATTCCACTGAGATGATTACTAGCATCTGGAGTAAGGGAAAGACCAAGGAATGGCAGTCAAGTAATTCCAACATGTGCACAAAGAAGAACGGTCCTGTTACTCCAACACAGCAGTCCAGTGAAAGAAACAGGGAATAACAACTCCAGGAATGGAGCAAGGGTTCAAAGGATTAAAAAGAATGAGTGTCTTGTGATTGTGGTGAGTATAAATATGACAAATAAATAAACAAATTGCCATAAACAATGCTGTACAGGCCTTGTTTTACGACCCAGGTAGGCTATTTAGAAATTGCTGCATACAGGCCCCAAAAACTTAGCATTTGACAGTTAATAAGAGTCCCAAGAAGAAAAGGGTTGCTAAATCAAGAAACCCAGTGCTGCTAACTGAATTGTTGTTGTCTATCAGCAATAAACAAATCCACCAAGACTCATCAGTGGAAGAGAAGCCCACCACAGGATATTTAGATAAGGGCTTCCTCAAATCCACAGTTGGTCCTACTTAAAAAAAGCTTCTAGGCCATTTTATATGAAGTGGGCTTAAAATGTAAAGAATTTGATCAGATTTCACAAGCTAAACTTTATTGCTAGAGACAGCCATAAAGCAACATTAGGCTAAACATTGTAGTGCTGTTATGATATTTTCCCCGTATTTCAAAAATAATCAAACTGTCCTGTTGGGCCCCCCAAAACATGGCCTTTTCTTGTAGATTTTGTAAAGGATCACAGATAAAAAGCAATATAACTAAAGTTCAAGACAAAGTTATAGAAGGATCATCTAATTAACAACCCCCCCCCCCATAAAATGCTACCTCATGAACCCATATGATCATCCCTTCCAGCCCATATTTGCTGGTAACAACCTGAAGTGGAAAGAAAGGAATATATGTAACTGTCTTTTGGCTTATTAAAAATGATTATTGCTGTGTATATGGCCACAGTCCAAAATCAAATTTGTACATCTGAAACCACCTGTCTCAGCGCTTCTAGGTTCATGTTGTTCTGTGCTAGGCTGTGACCATAGGGAAGAATTCATTAAAATGTTTTGAAAGTGAACAATATTTTTAGTTAAGACAAAATGGCATTCCAGCTACTTTAATGGACACCCATTAAAAGAATATTCTGCTCCGATGCTATTTCTGCTACCAATTTTCCTGCCTTATCATCATGAAACCCACAATAGTATTCATGCTGCTTTCTATTTTTCTTTTGTTATCTGCCAATGAGGCCTCCAGCTAATGCTTGTACTGAGGAAACCAGAAGCAGCGATAAGCCAGGAACTTGTGAGAATGCATAGTATCTCCAAGCAATTTTTCCATTTACAGGAAGTATTTTTCATATTGCCATAATGCTGAGGGTATTTTTTTTCAAAACATGTGCCATTCAGATAACAAAGGAAGAAAGCTACCAGGGGGCAAGGGGGAAGAGATAAGACAATAAGAGGAAAAAAAGGAAAAACACAAAGTATTTTTGTGGGGAGAGGGGGG